ACACACACACACACACACACACACACACACACACACACACACACACATAAACAGCTTAAACATGGGCAAGCAAACACACACAAATTTTCTCGAAGATTCCAGTAATCCAGGTAGGAAATGTGGGTGATTTTCCATGAGTTTATTCCAGCCTCTAGTCCAGCTGCAGCATGTAGTCTAAAGGATGCACTGCAGCAACTCATCAGGGTATCTTCAACAGGGGCCTCCCAAAGCCATGATCTTCAGCATCGGGAAGGGCTAAGGCAACATGTACCTAGGAAAACCATTCATTTCCAGTTCCCTTCCATACCACAACTCATTCCAACTTGAACATTTATTGCCACTGTTCCTTCTTTGTCAACCCCAAATTAGCAGCACTGCAGGAGCATCTTCAATCACATGGACTGCCACATTTCAGGAAGATGGTTCACTACCACCACCTCAGTGGCAAGTAAAGGTGGGCCACAAAGTGCTAGTTTGTCAGTGCGGTGGGCCGGAGGGGTTACAGTTTTTCAAGAAGGCAGTTCACCACCACCTTCTCAAGGGCAACTAGGTATAGGCAATAAAATGCTAGCCCAGCCAGCGATGCCCACATCCCACAAATGAATAAAAAAAACCTGGAAAACAGCAATAAATACAGTTTAGACTAAAATCCTATTTGAGACTGAATGGAAGTCAGTTAAATCAATTTTATTTGTAGGCATGAGTTCAGTGTGGAAGGAGGTGTATTTCTCTATCAAAGCCGCCTTAGATGAATGTCATAATTTTGTTTAAAATAAAAACTTACCGATCAGGCAGTCAGCCAGAAGTGAATTGAACCAGATGTTGAGATTTATACCAATGAGGAGAACTCGTTTTAATGTAAAAAGCAACAAGAATTTAGGGCAAAAATTAATTTCTTTCAAGACCACAGGAGTTCTCTCCACTGTACTGATCAATATTTATCCCTTAGCCAGCATTACTCAAACAGATGATCTGGCCATTAATCACATTGCTTTTTGTGGGAGTTTGCTGCACACAAATTGACTACTTTATTTACGACATTACAGGAACTATTACACTCAATTGACTCAATTACCTAAATGATTCAAGGACGTCAAAAGAACTGTGAAACTCCAAAATCTTTCTTTCTATTGAATAAAAATCAAACTCCATTCATATAATTTTTTAAAATACGAATCCTGCAAATAAAAACTTGACTCATTTAAGAAAAAATTCATAGATTTGGCCCTGCTGACTGTGCTGGCATTAATAGCTCATCCTTAGTTGCCCTTGAGAAGGTAGTAGTGAGCTGCCTTCTTGAATTGCTGCAATTCATTTATAGAATCATTGAGTCATGTAGCAACGTTTCTGAAGTTTTTCATTCTTAGAATTATTGTTTAAATCTCTTCTGCACCCTATCCAGTGCCTTCACATCTTTCCTATCATGTGGTACCCACAACTATACACATTACTCCAGATGAGGCCTAACAAGCGTCTTGTACAAGTTCAACATCACCTCCTTGCTCTTGTACTCTATGCCCTTGTTTATAAAGCTGAAATCTCTGTATGCTTTATTAACTGCTCTCTTCATTTGCTCTGCCACCTTCAATGATCTGTGCACATATACAACCAGGTATATCTGCTCTTGCACTCAATTTAGAATTGTACCCCTATTGCATATTGTCATTCAGTGTTCTTCCCACACCTTGTCGATGCACACAGTAGATGCAGAGAGGTTGTTTCACCTTGTGGGAGAGTCTAGGACCAGAAGGCAAAGTCTTATGATGGAGAGACGGTAATTGAAGCAGTTGATGATGGTTGGATCTAGTAAACTACCCTAAGGGACTCTTGTGGCACAGTGGTTATGTCCCTTACTTCTGAGCCAGGATTCTGGGGTTCAACTTCCACCTGCTCCAGATATGTGTTATAATGTATCTAATCAGGTTGATTAAGAAATATTTGCCCTGAGGAATTTCTGTAGAGATGTCCTGGAGCTGAGACGACCGACCTCCAACAACCCCAACTCTGTTCCTTTGTGTTTGGTATGACTGATACTGATTGCAGCTTTGCTAGGGCTCTTTGATGCCACACTCAGTCAAAAGTGGGTTTGATATCCAGCTCAGTCACTCTCACTTCCCCACTGTAATTCAACTCTTTTGTCCATGTTTGAAACCAGACTGTTGTGAGGTCAGAAGTTGAGTGGCCCTTGCAGATCCCAAACTGAATGACAGTGAGCAAGTTATTGCCAAGGAAATGATGTTTGACAGCACTGTTGATGACAGCTCCCATCACTTTACTGAAGATTGATACTGGACTGACGCAGCAGTAATTGGCTTGCCTAGATTTATTGTGAATTTTGAATGTAAGACGTACCTGGGCAATTTTCCACATGTTGGGTAGATGCCAGTGTTGTAGCTTAACTGGAACAGCTCAGCTAGGGGCATGGTACATTCTAAAGCTCCAGTGTTAATGACTATTGCTGGAATATTGTCAGGACAAATAGTCTTTGCAGTAACAAGTGTCTTCAGCGGTTAGGAACCTGTTTCTGCTTAGTATCTTCACTGCTTGTATGTGGCTCATTGGCTGAGTTGCTTCGTATCCATCATGGAGGCTGCAGAAAAGTCTAATCATTTTTTCCGGCAAATTGTGCATACACCATCGGAGGAATAGGGAACATGTTCATTTATGGTGTTCACTGCCAATATCACTAAAGCAGTGAAAATGTTGCTTCATCAATCCCATGGCTAGGAGAGGAACATTTCTCGAACAGGTGAGCCTTCTTATGTTAACACAGAGTGTCCCTGATTTATGAACTTCCAACTTACAAACCTTTGCAGTTACGAACATGATCCTATATATGGTGTATAATTTTAAAGACCTGACATGTGAACATTTCCTGTACTTATGAACAGCCGGGTTATATTGTCCTGCATTGTGCTCTGACTTGCAAACGGACTCAGAAATGGAACCCGTTCGCAACTGGGGACTGTCTGTACAGCACTTGCTACAGATCCTCATTGAGATTGGCACAGTCAACTCACAAGCAGCCCAGAGCAATAACTGGGGTTTGGAGGAACATGACCCAACCATTAAATTAGTGTTGCTTTGTGGCAGAATTTACAAAAGTTTAGCAGAAACTGAAGACAAACCACATTGTTTCTCTGTAGTGACGAGAAGCAGCAGAGAATACAATGATAAATGTCTGAGACAACAGCCTCCAAACAGATGCCTTAAAGTCCCTCGGATTGTCTGAAGGTCATGCACATATTAGGACATGTCTGAAGCAATTTGTAAGCAATGAGCTGCACTTGCACTGGGTGAGACCTAGAACGACCACACAGTTTTTGAATGTGTATTTTTGAGATTTATAACACAAGCACAGTATCCCACTAATTAAAAGAGTTTTGAGGAGCTGCTGTATAACTACCATAAAAAGTTTAAACAATTCCAATTTTGGGAATGCTTTCTGGGCCACCATCCAACACTGTGCCAAAATAAAATAATGATGGTGCCTGAAACGATTAATTTTCTCATCTATTTTTGTAAATACCAGCTCGACATCCTGTTTGTTCAGCATTGAATGTTCCTTCGGCAGCATAGATGCAGGGAGGATGGTTCCCCTTGCTGGGGTTAGATCCAGGTGGTAACACAATCTCAGAAAAATGGGTTGCCCATTTAGAAATGAGATGATGAGGAGGAATTTCATTGAGATGGAATTTCTTCTTTGGAATTCTCTAACCCAGAGGGCTGTGAATGTTGTTTCATTAACTGTATAGATTTACTGGAAAGCATGCAAAAAAGATTTACAAAAATGTTACCAAGACTGGAGGGTTTGAGTTATAAGGAGAGGCTGGATAGGCTGGGACTTTTACCCTGGAGTGGAGGAGGCTGAGGGTTGATCTGAGAGTGATTTATAAAATCATGGGGGCATAGATAAAGTCTGTTCCCCAGGGTAGCAGAGTCCAAAACTAGAGGGCAAAGGTTTAAGGTGAGAGAGGAAAGATTTAAAAAGGACCTGAAGGGCAACTTTTTCACATAGAATGTGTGTATATGGAGCAAGCTGCCAGAGGAAGTGGTAGAGGTGAGTACAATTACAACATTAAAAGGACACTTGGACAGGTACATGGATAGGAAAGGTTTCGAGGGATATGGGCCAATTGCAGGCACATGGGACTAGCTCAATTTAGGAAACCTGGTTGGCCATCAATGAGTTGGGCTGAAGTGTCTGTTTCTGTGCTGTATGTCTGTATGACTCTATTTATCAATGAAATATGTTAATTGAATATGTTCAAGGCAGATACTGACAGATTTCTAAATATTAAAGACATCAAGTGATATGGGGGATAGTGTAGGAGAATAGCATTGAGGTAGATGTCATCCATGATCTGGTTGAATGGCAGAGCAGGCCTAAAGAGCTGAATGACCTACTCCTACTCCTATTTCTTATGTTCCGAAGATCAGGTTATTAGGTCTTGTGGATTAAAAGATAAATATTTACTGGTATTCTCCTGCTTTTCTTTGAAAAAATGCCATGGAATATTTTACATTCAGCCTAGATGACAGTAAGGCCCTGATTTGGCACCTCATCCAAAGGATTGGACTGCTTGACAATGCAGTACTCACTCTGTACTGTAACAAAGTGCCAGTCTTGATTTTATATTCGGGATTTCTGGTGTGGATCTTGATCTATGACCTCAGACTTAAAGATGGCT